TTTATCCCCCCTAAATTTTAAAAAAAAAAAAAAAAAAAAAACATTTGAAATGGGCCCCCCCCCCCCGCCCTCCCCAAAAAAGGACAAACCAGAATCGTCGCTCATCACATCCACGCAAATTGTGAAATCTGTTTTTTCTTGGTGGTGAAATTTGGATGAATAAAACATTCACAAAGCCACGATTGGCGTTTGCTAAAATGCATAAACATCACTATGATACGAGGAAAAAAAAAACAAGACATACGTCAAAGAAAGAAGTAGCAACATCAGGCTCAGTAAACTTTCATTCAAAGGTGTGTCAGTGTTAACTCATTAAGGTATTGTAAAGTACAAATGTAGATGTTCGTTTCAAAGTACAGTATTTGCAAATCGTGAAAATCGAAGATGACGAGGTTGGGCCGGGAGTTACGTCACCGAAATGGGCGTGGTTACGCCAGGAGGTATTTTACTGGGGAGGGGGTTCCGCCGCGGCTCTTCCACCGGCTCGTGACGTCACCCCCACTCGAACGCCCGCTCTTCGTTTTTCACGCACGAGCCCGGCGCGCGTCCTTTGTGTTTTGTGTTCGTTCGTCAGCCATTCATTGGCGGCGGGCAGGTGGCCGACATGGGCAACTGTCTGACGGTCGGCCCCAACGAAGCCTTGGTGGTCTCTGGTAGGAAATCTTTTCCTTTCCTCTTTTTTATTCATGGATTTATTTTTAAAACTTTCTATTTTCGAATCTGAGCTGAGGGAGGCTAACGACTAACGAGCTAATGCTAGCCCCGGGACAAGCTTAGCGGTCGCTGGTGAAAACAAGCCGGAGTCACGTGATTTGTGTTTTGGATTGAAGACCCCCAGTAGCTTGTCCGCCTCCATTCAAACCCGAAGAAGAAGGTCTCTAAAAGCCGTGTTGCTTCCCATCCCAATTTCTGGCTTCGAGCACACCTGATTGAAACGATCAGGATCGCGGTCAAGCTTTTTCAGAGCTTGCCGACGAGCCGCTCATTTGAATGAGCCGTGTTGGAAGACGGAAACCGGATTGAGGGCTGAGAGGTTGTTTGCCTCCACATTGTCGGTCCTCCGTGAAAGCAAATCCACTGTGTCCAATCAAAACGGGGCATTTTGCAAAGTCTGCTTTTATTTTGGAAATGACAACGTTTTTGTAACCAGACCAGTGACCAGAAACTGAATCACAATCCATCGATGTTCACGAATGGACTGTTTTGCAACATGGCGATGGAAATTGAGAAACAAAAATGTCAGCGATTGGTGGGGAAAATAGGTAACAGTTATTTTTTGCTTTTTTTCTTGACCAGAGGCGATATGGCACAAAAACAAGCGCGCTTCCGCTTAGCACACCCAAATCTATTCCCCCCGAATCCATGATGAGATTTTGTAACTTGGCGCCACGTTCTACTCAGGCTGAAGCGGCCGGTCCGAGCAGACTCTGCATTTTGACTGACGGCCGTTTTGGGGCAACTCTTGTCACGTCGCCAGTCGCGGTGACTGGAAGGACCCGACTCGTGTTTGGATGCGATTTTGTCTGGTTGCGATCGGGGAGTCGGGACCGCGGACGGATGGCGTCGGCAGTCGTCGCTCCAGCGTGTTGCGCTGCGCTTTCCCTCCCTCAGGTGGCTGCTGCGCAGCGGATTCCAAGACCTACGTGGTGGGCGGCTGGTCGTGGGCTTGGTGGCTCCTCTCCGACACGCAAAGGTGAAGCCACGTTTCCGCCTTGACGGCCACTCGCGGCCTTTTCGTTCCTTGCCGGCGTTCGGACTCGGACCGGCCGGGCCGCCGCATGGTTTCATCGGGTCCACATTTAGCACGCGAGTTCGCCGCGTTTTCCCGATGAGCGGTTTTCTCTCCTTTGATACTGAAACCAAATCCAAACTTTTGCACAGCGACGGCGACCTCTCGGCTCCTCCCGAGTCGCGCGAGCCAAGGAAAGGCCCCTCGTTTGTTACAAACAGCCTTTTTTGCCGGAGAGGCCAAACCGACTCGTGGTTTGGCCATCCGTTGATGGGGAGGAGGAGGAAAATTCATTTGCTGCTTTGCACCGCGACATCCATCTGAAAATCGGACAAAACGGTGAGAATCGCAAATGGTTGCCATCGCTCTTTTTTTGGGGGGGAGGGCGACAACACTAACAAATGATCTTTATGTAGTTATCTTTTGCGGGGGATGACTACAGAAATTGGAGATTTGCTGTTGACGGCCTAAAAAGCCCGACCGAGGACTTTGACCATTTGAGGTGAAACAAGTTCTGGAGAAACAATTAGGCCCAAATCCAAAATTAAATTGTGGACAAACAGATGCAATTGTGACGCCTTTTTAGTGTGGCATCTCCCTATTTCATAGGGCTGTGATCCCCTGGCACCCCCCACCCCAAAAAAACAAACCAATTAGAATCTGAGAATTGCTCGAGATTGCAAAGACACGAGCGCATGGACTCAAACCAAACGGAGTCGTCCCATTGGTAAACGAAGCCTCGTTGATGCGTGGCGCGTCACATCAGCTCGGGTGGGAGAGCCGCCGTCTCGGAGGGGTTGACAGGGCGCGCCGATGCCATCGCGCGATCAGAGATGCGGTCTTGGCCGCCATTGTCGTCTCACGCTTGCGTGCGCAGAATCACCTTGGAGATAATGACGCTGCAGCCGCGCTGCGAGGACGTGGAGACGGCGGAGGGCGTGGCCATCACCGTCACAGGCGTGGCTCAGGTAATGAGAAACGCATCCACTCGTTGTGATCGATGAATACGCTTGGAACTTGATCGAGGCGGTAGCTCAATTGAGGCTCGGTACACACGACAAGGTTGGTTGTCAGGGACAAGGAGATGGAAGGAGATGGCGGGCGGGGGGAACATTTGGCGTCATGCTGTGATGACCTCAACCACCCGGGAAGGTTCTGCCCGGGCAAGGCGAAGGCGGCTTTCTTTCCAGAGCGCCTTGGGGCTTCGCATGATGAAAATACAACACAGAAAAGCCTCGAAAGACATCAGAGTCGAAAACTTTTCGTGGCCCAGGAAAAGAAATCCAAGGTATCGCTTCCCAAAGTGACTCAAAGAACCACCGGCGCTTGAGCAAAGTAGGCCAGAAGCTCCCGCACGTGTGCCGATTGTGGCGGAACGGGGATGCCATCGAGACGAAGGACCCGCATCGTAGCAAGACTTGTCGCCGTCTGGGGAAGCCTTTCCTCAGAAAGAAGAAAAGCAACAAAAGAGGGTAGACCGCGTTGAACTCCAGCCGCTTCCTTGTCACTCAGTTGAGGACGCTTCTCGGAGTGGCTACTTTGACATCGTCACGTCACACGTCTGTCAAAAAGCTGCGCTCCGCACGCACGCTCGGAGATTGCGGGCCCCGAGCGGTGTCCGAGCCCGTTCCTCGGACGAATCCGCTCTCGGGCGGAAGGTCCACCAGCGTGCGCTGTGCGTCCCACGCAGGTGAAGGTGATGACGGAGCAGGACCTCCTGGCCCTGGCGTGCGAGCAGTTCCTGGGCAAGTCGGTCATGGAGATCAAAGCGGTGGTCCTGCAGACCCTGGAGGGACACCTGCGCTCCATCTTAGGTCCGATCAGCAAAAAGCACCGCTGCCTTTGGAAAGGCTCGGCTTCGGCGTTCAAGGCGGCGGCGACGGCGAACGTGACGCCGCTGCCGTGTGTGCGCGCAGGAACGTTGACGGTGGAGCAGATCTACCAAGATCGGGACCGCTTTGCCAAACTGGTACGGGAGGTGGCGGCGCCCGACGTGGGTCGCATGGGCATCGAGATCCTCAGCTTCACCATCAAGGTGGGACGTCGCTTGCCGGCGCCGTCGCCGCGCCGCTCACCTTCGCTCGCGTCCCGCAGGACGTGTACGACAAGCTGGACTACCTGAGCTCGCTGGGCAAGACCCAGACGGCCGCCGTCCGCCGGGACGCCGACATCGGGGTGGCGGAAGCCGAGCGGGACGCCGGGATTCGGGTAAGCGGCCGCCGGACATCGTGGGCGTTTCCGTTGGCCTCGACGCCGCGAGTTCATTCGTTTTCGCGAGTTTCCGGCTGCCTCGCGAGCCCGGCGCGCGTGTGTGCGGTCCCTCAGGAAGCCGAGTGCAAGAAGGAGATGTTGGACATCAAGTTCCAGGCCGACACCAAGATGGCCGACTCCAAGCGAGAACTGGAGCTGCAGAAAGCCGCCTTCAACCAGGAAGTCAACACCAAGGTGGGCGCAAAATACTTGTGCCTGCGCTCCTTTCCGGCAGGAGAAACAAACTCCCAACACTTGGCGACACTCGTTTCATGGCTTTTCTTATTAGAATGGGCAACGGGGGAGGGGGGGGGGGCAACGGTCGGCACGAACGACGGGCCGCTTCCTGTTGGCAAAAGTATTCAGCCGGCAGCGGAGAACGCGTACGTTCCCGGCCCGGCGTGAGCGACTCTCCGCTTTTATGTCGGGTGTCGGCAGAAAGCCGAGGCCCAGCTGGCGTACGAGCTGCAGGCGGCCAAGGAGCAGCAGAAGATCCGCCTGGAGGAGATGGAGATCGAGGTGGTGCGGCGCCGCAAGCAGATCGCCGTCGAGGAACGGGAGGTCCGGCGCACCGACAAGGAGCTGGTCGCCAACGTCAAGCGGCCCGCCGAGGCCGAAGCCTTCAAGATGCGGCGGCTTGCCGAAGGATACAAGTGAGAAGCGCTCGCGGGGAAAACAAAACAAAAATGGGCTGTCGGGCCTCACTTATGAGGGCAGCGCGACGCCGTTTGCCACAATTTGCAGCTCATTGACGGATGCTTTGAACCGGCCTCATCCTTTGTCGCGTCGCTGAATCGGGGCGATCCGGGAGTCGAGAATGATGTCGCTGCCTCGCCGATGACTCGCTCCTCGCCGACTCTTTCAACGTTTTGTCGCGGTTCTCAACCGTCCTCAGGAAGAAGCGCGTGCTCATCGCGCAGGCCGAGGCGGAGAAGATCCGAAAGATCGGCGAGGCGCAGGCCGCGCGCGCGGAGGCGGTGGGCAAGGCCGAGGCCGAGAAGATGAGGCTCAAGGCCGAGGCCTACCGGCGCTACGGCGACGCCGCCAAGACCGCCCTGGTCCTGCAGGCTCTGCCCGAGGTAACGCCGCCGCAATGGGGTCGAGTCAAGTCCACCTGTAATTGTCCAATGTGCCGTACGTGTGGGGAAGTGATGTCGCTTGTTGGTGCAGATCGCCGCCAAGGTGGCGGCGCCGTTGGCCAAGACCGACCGGATCGTCATCCTGGGTGAAGATGGCGGCGGCGGCGGCGGCGGCCATGTCACGGGCCAGGTCGACCGACTCCTGGCGGAACTCCCCGCTTCGGTTAACGCGCTGGCGGGCGTCGACTTCACCAAGGTACGAGCCGACTGCGAGCTCCAGCAACCCCGCGTGCGTTCCCAAATGGCCCCCGGGCCCGTCCACCGGGATTTCGGGAGCCCCAAGCCAATTGCAATATTTGCCACGGAGAAAAAAAGGAATTGGCCAAGTGACTCGCCAGCCATATCGTGGCTCGAATCATTTGGTCTTGGTCCCCGGACGCATCCTCCCAACGGACAGGCAGAATATCGGCCACCTCAATGCCGGCAACTTGTCGCTCCAATTTGAGGACTCCCCTGCGCTCTCTCGCCGCATTCCAAATGTTACCCGGCAAAATCATATCCGTGTTTCTGAAGTGCCCCTGTGATCTGAGTGTTGTTTTTTTTTTTCCCCCTGTAACGAACGGAATACAGTTCACTGATGGCGGTTAATGGGGGCCAAGACCCTGCCGCGCTACGTGAAAAACGGCAAAGTAGGCTGTTGAAGTGTTGTGGAGGGGCTTGCGTTGACGCCGCTGTCTGTCGCTGGCAGATTCCGCTGCTGCAGAAGATGGCCAAGACCAGCGGCTGAAGGGTGGCGGCGCTGGAGCCGGATCGGTGACCAGAAAACTCCTTTGGTGCCTTCGCCGACCTTGGAGCGCCCCTCACGGTCTGCCGCTGGCACCGCGCGGCGGCGCTGAGCCAAGCTTTCTGCCAGCTGCTTCCTTTTCTTCTGATTTGTCATCGTCGTCGTCGTCTTCACTTTGGGCAGCGTTGGAAATCACTCTTGAGCCACGACGGCGGAGCTGTCAAACGCGTTTGCACCCGGTTGGAGCTCGAGCGGGCCCCGCCGGCCGCACGGTTTATTTGGGCCGTTCCAAAGTTTTGCCATTTTGCGCTGCAAATCGTTCCAAGTCGGAAACGATGCACTTGGATTTTTGCTGCAAATCTGACAGCTGCCGTGGCGTTCACCCGTTTCGCATCTTTAGCTGTGCTCATACTGCGGCTCGATTGCGCTTTTTGTTTTGCCCGCGTGACATTTGTTTTTCTCCCGTGCGCTCCCCTTCCTGTCACCGTCAACGACCGTCTGATGTGAGCGCAGTGTGGATGCTCGGGTGGCGCTCATCTGGCGTACACGTCGACAAAAGGTCTCGCACTTGTCGGACAAAACAGATGGCGAAGGCCGAGCGGGGAGAAGATGAGGTGGGAAAAAATTTGCCCCGCTTGCACAAAATCCTTCAAATTGTCACAACCGATGCGTCCCGCGCGCCCTCCACAGGACAAGTTGCGTTTGCTTTGAGAATGTGGACGATGACATCAAAAAATCCCAATTGGGGACGGTGCCCTGCGCTGTCAATGTAGCCACAAGCTGTCATGTTTGTAAAGCAACCGGCTAACATCGAGAAAGGATGTTGGATGGACACGCATTTCTGCAAATCTCGACAAGCTCGAGGGACTCATCTCGCAATACCAACTCAAGCGGCGACTGTTTTTCTTCACAGGGCGCAACTCCCAATCGGAATCCCATTCCGATTGATTGGCCTCGTTGGGATTGCATACGGACGTCTGTCTGCATGTCCCTGTCGCGTTCGATATGCCAACACATTTTTGAGGGAAGGCGGTTTTTCTTCTGCTTTTACCGTGATGTGTGTGTGTGTGTGTTTTTAGTTGACATGTGACTGTTCAGATTCTTCTTGATGTGGTCGAATGACACTTTAGGTGAACTCGTTTTGGCAGTGACTTGTTGTCATCCTCATCTGGGGAACTGAGAAGGAACGAAAAGTCAGATGTTCAGCCAGGAAACGTCGAGAGCTGCTCCGAAAATTTCGCTGAGGACAACCCACTCCAAATAGTGCACACAGCTCTCATTGGGATGCATGACACAACTTTGATGTGATATTGTGAAGCGTCTTTGGCTCCAATTGGCATAGGGCTGAACCCTCCCGTGTTCAAATTGAGTCCATTTACAGACACAGACCCCCCCCCCCCCAACATACATTCGATTATTCAGTCCCCACGTCGGTCTATTCATTATTTTTTTAACGAATTATTGACCAATCTCAATCGTCCATATGTATTCGGATGATGCGCTGTTGGTGAGTTAAGTGACGGTCACTTTTCACGCATGCGCAGATGAGATCTACGGGCGGTTGGATGCTCAGGCCCATCGCTCGAAAGATGGACTCGAGGACACGCCCCTTTCAAAATGACTGCCTATGCCTACCCTGGGCTTCGCTCAAGAGGGGCAAAGTCAGCAGCCAAGTCTATTCATCCGTTTGAACGGCAACAAAAACGTAAACAAAGTTGTACAAACAATGCAGTGCAATTACGACGAGTGAACTGGGAATAATTTGTTAACAAGATTAATATTCGACTTTTTACACGTTCCATATCGGTAGCACATATTTGGGAGTTGACAAAAAGTAAATTCGTAGAGATCGATTGAGAATTGAGCACGACGCACAATAATCTCAATGTCATCTTTATTGTTATCATGATTATTATTTAATTAAAATGTCCACATTGATTTTGGTGGGAATGTGGCCCTTGCCAACACGGCCGCCGAGCAGGCAGGTCCGTTTGCCGGCGTTTTTCCAGCATGCAGTCGTATGCAGTCATCGCTTCCCGTTCGTATAAATAAGAAATAATTGCTCGGTGCCATTAAAATTTCGCTGGTTGTCATAACATATTTGCTTATATGGCGTTCACGGTGGCGACGCTGATTATTTCTCAGGCATTCTCCACGGGCGGCTGGCTGGCCGTTGGCGGAACTGTGAGGTGGCTCTTTCGCGCATGCGCAGTGTGCGGCGAGCCCCACAGTAGGTGAGCGGCGCGGCTAGCAAGCTAGCGGGCTGCCAAGCGGACACTTTGTCGCCGATTGGGCTCACGTCGAGAATGTTGTCGGCATCGTCGTAACTCCCCAAGACGAGCGCGACACGTCGCTCGAAGTGTAAGTACTCGACTCGCCGGAAGCCGCTCGGCACTGTCGTTAGTTAGTGGCCAGCAATACCCTACCTGTCGACCAGTACAAAAGAACGAAGACAAAGGATGTGCTTGGAAACAGATTCCGAGCGCGCACTGCGTCACTCCGACCGTCCGGAAACTAGCGTTCAAATGCGCCTTTCGTGCCCCAGTAAAAGTGCCCGAGTGCCGTTTTGGCGTTCCGACTGGGGACACGGAGCCGCAGCCCAGTGCGTCCGCTTGTCTGGGCTAGTTCGAGCTCGGAAATAAATGAGAGTGCGCTCTGCCTCTCCGAACGCGCACGACACTCGCGATTGGTGTCAGGCTCAATTTGCGAACGCACCCAAAGTTTACGTAACTGCCGACATTTGTGTTAGCTTGCAGCTACATTTTGTGTTAGCTTGCAGCTACATGCTACACCTGCGTCATCATCTTCATGACGTTGATGGCCGCGTGTCCGTCGTCGGCGGTGGACCACCACCGTTGTTTTCTGATTTGTATTTATTTATAAACAATCTTTGTCTAACAATTTAAAGCACCGGACGGAAATATGAATATAAACAAAGTACATAACATGTAGCTAATTCAAATATTAGAAATGGCAGACAACTTTACAAAACATGCCAGGAGGTTAAGGCGGTAGAAAAAAACAGTCAAAGAATACAGTGGTGCCTTGCATTTGATCTGCATTATACTACTACATTTGAAAATCAAGTAAAGGTTTCTTCGTAATTTTTATGATTTTGTCTGTCATTTTCTTGAACCAATAATGCCCCACGGGGTATGCCCATGTCCATACCCTGCGGCATTATGGGAAAGAAATGCTGTGTCTTTCGCATTTAGCCTGCGAGTACATTCAAGCGCATTTGCAAACCGAAAATGTTGACTCCACATCGGCAGTTCCACCCTTCCATCCAATCTGGCGACTGACGCACTTGTTGTTCACTTGCAGACGAGGAGCCGCACGTCGGCCGACGGCGCCCGTCACCAAACGTTGACGCACCGGTTCGCTTCTCGTCCTCGGCGGTCTGCGTCTCAGTCGTCTCGCGTCTGATGAACGCCCGACTGGGGAAATGTGAGCGCGCCGTCCGTCCGCAAGTTTCCTCCGGTCGGGCGGCCCCCGTGTCGAGGGGGTAGGGGGGCCCCGTATCGCTTGGGCGCTCACCGGCAGCGGAGACCACCGCATCCACAGGGCCACCATGAACCCGTACGCCGCCCCCAAGGAAATGCCGTTTCACCCGCACGATTTGACCGTGCCCGCCTCCTCGCCCCAGACTCACGGGCTGCCGCCGGCGACCCGGAGGCTCGCCCACGACCCGCTGCAGCAGCATCGAGGGGGGGCGCCGGCACCGCGTGTCGCGTGCCTGCCCGTGCCGAAGCATCAGACGCCTCGCGGCTTACTGGCCGCCGCCCCTCCGGACCTTTGCCACGTGTCGGAAGCGGCCGTGCAAATGTGTGGCCGGGGCTTCGTCGGATCGCAGACCCTCTCCCAGGCGCCGAGCGCCGCGCCCGGTGGACTCCAGCCGCCTCACTCCCAAACTCTGGGAGCCATCCCGGGCGGTCTCCATCCTCGGCGAAGCATGTCCGGCAGTCTTCAGTCGCCGCACCCCCAGATGCCAGGTGCCCTGCCCGGCGCTCTTCATCCAGCGCAACACCCCCAGACACCCGGGACCGTACCCGGCGGCTGCGTCCAGACTCCGGGACTCCTGTCCGGCGGCCTCCAGCAGGCCCCCGCCGGGGCTTACGGAGCCTGCAAGCTCCCGGACTCGGACGCGCCTCCCAACGTAACGGTATCCACCTCCACCATCCCGCTGTCCATGGCCGCCAGCCTGCACCACCGGGGCGGCGACCTGAGCAGCATCGTGCACCAAATCAACCAATTGTGTCAGGCGCGCGCCGAGGCCGGCGCCACCTCGGTGTGCGAGGGCCAAATCGCCAACCCCAGCCCCATCAGTCGGAACCTGCTCATCAGCGCCAGTTCCAGGGTGTCGGCGCCGGGACCCCCCGACGTACTCCCGGCTCCTCCTCCTCCGGGCGCCGCCATCCGATCGCAGCCGGGCCTCTCCGTCGCGAACGCGGTGGCCGCTTTCCCGGCGGATGCTGTCCAGCTCCACCGGGAGTGTGTGTGGAGCCAACACCGCCCTCCTCCCGAGGGGGTCCACCCCTGCAAGAATCTCCGCTTGGATCGCGCGGCGGAGAGCGCCTACCCCGCCCGGGCCCTGGGCTACCTCTGCAAGCCGGCCCGGGCGGACCCGCCCGGATCGCCTTCCCCCGTCGGCCCCCCCGGGCCTCGTGCCGACAGTGACTGCCTGAACCCGGCGTGGGGAGGAAGCCAGGTCCCGGCGGGCTTCCAGGCGGGCCGCGTCGTCGGAGCCAAGTACCGACTGGGCAAAGAAAGTCTTCCCGGACGCACCAAGATGGCGTCGGACTTGGACTTCTTCAGGGGGCGGGACGTCGTGGCGGCCGGCTTCCCGGACCCCGACCTGGACTCCGTGGGCGGGTCGGCCGCGTGCCCGCCTCGGAACGCCGCTTGCGCTCTTAATCGCGCCTACCGATAGGTCTGGCGCGCGCGTCTGCCGGATCCGTTTGAATGTTTGACGCTTTTGGGAACGGCGTTCACGTTTGGCGCGAGGACTCGGCAGCGCAAACGTGTCCCAAAGCCGCCATCGTGCCGCAAAGAGGAGCAATACGTTCCCGAGCACGGGAGGAGTCCCGCACTGATGGGCCGCGTGTGTTTGCCTGCTGATGTCATGTGGCTGCCCTGGCAAAATAAAGTCTCGTCAGCGCACGAGCGGTTCGTTTGTTGACGTGGCCTTTCTGATGTCCGAGGTCCCGGGTTCGCCCGGCAGGTCCCGGGAGAACCAAATCGCATCAAATAACAGAGATCGGGGAGATGCCCGTTCACAGTCCCAAGCCGAAGCAAAGCGGCACAACGGCGTGGCTCCGAGGCTCTTTGCGCTCCCAGTTCAGCCCGCTCTTGTTGCGCAACAGCGGTTCAAAAGGACGAGAAACTACTTCTGTGACCGCACGTAAGGCAAGACGAGTCGCTCGTTCACGGAAGTGGCGTTTGCCCTTTCCACGGACTCGCTTGATGTCGCCGGCGGCCGTCTTCCGCACGGAACGCTTGGCCAGTGCAGCGAATTTGGGCCTTGGCTCAGAGTTTGCGCGAGGGTGCAAAGATTGGCACAGCGTGTTTATTACTTGTTGTGGTGGAAGGGACATTTTGAACACGTTGGGGCAGTTTTTCCCTCTCTGCGAGCAACCTTGTACGAACCCTGACCCAAACCCCCAAATTCGCAACACCGGCCAAGGATTTGGCTCAGCGCCACAGCTTACGCTTAAGACGGGGGTGCCAAACTCATTTTTGTCGTTCCGGTTTCCTCTGGAGTGCCGATTTTGGGAAGCCATGTCAATGTTGAATCACCTCCACATCTTACAGATACGCCGCACAACAAATTGATGGCGAACTCGTTTTAAAATCAGAAGTCAAGAATAACGACTGTTATCGCGGATGACGTGACAATTTGAAATTTGGGTTCCGACTTCAGCGAGCGTCATGGCACTTGACGTGCTTGATTTGCTTTTGCGGGCCACTTAACATGATGTGGCGGGCCAAATCTGGCCCCACGGGCCTTGGCTTTGGCACCACTGGCATAAGAGATCACTTTGAAAAAGAGGCTTGTGTACATTTTCCCCCCATTTCATAAGAAACGTTGCTGCCCCCGTCAACTGCCTGCGCCTTTTTGTTTTTGTTGGCATTTAAAACCACAACAAGGAAAAGTTTCGCATTTCGGAACGTTTGGATATCCGCTCTGTCACTTTTCATTTAGCGTGCTCCTTAGCCCGGAAGCTCCTGGCGCTATTTTTTTGTTTGTTTCAATGAAAATGAAAACCTTCACCAAATACGGCTTGATGGCATTTCAAGCGGAGCAAGTTAAGCTGGCCAGCGCCAAACGAGAGCGCGCGCGAGGGGAGGCGAGGACGTGACATCCAAAAGAGACGGCGCTTTTTGTGTGGTTTTTAAAACATTTTTTAATTCATTCGAAGCGGTCGTCATCGGAGGCGGGCGTTTGCTGCGGGGGCGGGGCCACCTTGATGCAGACGTTGCAGCGTCCCACGTTGGCGGCGTGCCGGCGGGCCTCGGCGTCGGGCGCCGTCAGCCAGAAGCTGTAGATGTTGGCAAAGTAGTGGCACGTCCCCCGCGGGCCCTGGCACTCCACGAAGGGCTGCGGCCGGAAGTCCCGCAGGCAACTGCCCGACGACGTCAGCGACTGACCGCCGCCCTCGTCGCCGGCGCCCGTGTGCTGGGGATCGGGCGGCGACAAAACGGCACAGCGCGTCAAACAAAAACGCAAACGGAAGCCCCGGCCGCTCCCAACTGCAACTTTTTCCGAGCGATGAAGGCGTCGATTGTTCTCTCGGGTGAATCGCGAGAAACACAATCGTTTTTCATTCCCAGCCGGCTCTTCTTCTTCTGAAACTGGACCAGATTCAAAATAAAAAATGGACGTCTTTTCCTGATCGGCTGAAAATATTTCCAATTGATCAATCAGAAAACAATGTCCATTATTCTTTCCAATAAAGGTGTTTTCGTTTTCTCCCCCATTGATCCAAAAACGGGACCAAAATGCAGCCTTCTAAATTGAGCCGCGTTCCCTTTCTGGTTTGGTTCCTAACGTCGATCGGGAACTGGCCCGCAAAATGTTGATGACTGTTTAGCAAAGTAAAAGCTGCCCGTCGCAAACGTCTCGTTTCACAAAACAAAACCTCATCAATCTGCTCTCATGTCGGACGACCGAGATTGGCGACATTTACCGCATTTGGGTCATTTGAAGTGAAACAATGTGATTCTCCATTCATTTGATCGTCTTGTCAACTGGGGGATTCATTTTCACCTCTTGACAAGAATGATACGGAATCTAACCTGCTTTGTGTCGAACCGGCGACCGTTAGCCTTCCTTGGCTCCCCCCTATGAAACGCTGCTTCTCATTTCGGGGGTGGCGACCGCGTGTGTGTGTGTGTGTGTGTGTGTGTGTGTGTGTGTGTGTGTGTGTCCGTCCGTCCGTCCATCCGTCCGTCCGTCCGTCCGTCCGCCCTCAATACAAACATCCCAAATTCACGAATAAGATGGTGACATGAGGACGAGTGCGGTCTTATTGCTGTGTTCTTTTCAGATGAGCTGACGGAAAGGAGGCCAGAATGCCCTGCGTGTGCTCGCCCGATTCCAAACCCGCGACGGGGAATAACAGTAAGTGGAGTCAGAATTGAACAGGCTCGCCCTCCAACGGAAGGGGGCGCCGTTGGGCCACAGCAGCCGCAAATTTGTAGTGACGACCGAGCGCCAGCAGGGGGCGCCCTGCTATCACGGCGCCCCACCGACGCCTTCTGACAGTTAGGAGGACGTCTGTTCTTTTCACCGGCGATGGACCATTCAAGGGGGTTGGAAAGTAGCTCCAGAACAAACCGCTTCACGCTCACGCGAGTGTCGCAAAGGCGCCGCTCGTCTCACAAGAGTTTTGCCCTTTTGTTCAAAGGTGCCGGCTGTAACGTTCTGGTCGGAACCGCAACCGCGTCAGCAGCCTATTCGCTTGTTCGCCGCCCATCGCATGAAATCCGAGGGTCCGAAGTGCGGTCTCAATCGCGGCGGCGCTTGATGCCGCCATACGGCCGTTTCAAGGCACAATAGCTCAGGAAACGCGTCAAGACACTCAAGGTGGCGCCGCGCGGGGTATGTCGTTGCTCTCCCACTGAATCGGCTTCCACTTTTGGGGGGTATCGGCACGATTGCGCAGCGCCGAATGGGGGGACGGACTCGGAATGGAAAAAGGAGCGCCACCCACCATGAGGAAGGAATAGCCGGTCCACAGGCTGGTCCAGTCGGGAGGGCACGGAGGGCGGCTGGACGACTGGCTGTGCAGGGCCGCGGGGGCGGAGGGCGCCTCGCAAACGGCGCAGCGGCTGATGTGCTCTTCGATGGAGGCTCCGGCCACGGGCAGGGCGGGCACGGCGGCCGTGGCCGACAGCCAGTAGGATTTGTCGTTGCGGCCGGCGTACGAGCACGTTCCCATGTTGCACGAGGCGAAGGGCATGGTGGAGAAGACGCGCATGCACGAGCCCGCCTGGCCTGCAACACAACAAGCGCGCTTACACAGCGACAAAACAAAGCGCCACGTCGCGCTCCTTCCGGTGCGCTCCCACGACACGCGCGCGGCCGCCACGCCGTTGTCTTCTCTTTGCTGTCAAGGAGTGGCGCGTGCTTGATCTGCAGACCGTTTCGGCGTCGGAATGCCAAACGGCGGGACGGACGTGGACGTCTCACATTGGGAGGCGGCCCAGCGGCCACGCGCCATCAATTTGATGGTGGATTGAGGAGGAATCCAAATAGCTGGCCATAGCTCTTTTCAGGGCTTTGGATCCCTCCAAAAGGGGGCGGGGGGGCCAACAGCGGCGGGCTTAGCCCTCTTTACTCGGATGGAAAGACCCTCAAAGTCTGCCCGAAAGCGCATCTGCTTGATTTCAGTCCAAATCCATTGTGGTAGTCTTTAGAGACGTAAAGACGACAACTGTGCCCATGTCCTCAGATTCCCAAACCTGACAATGTATTCGGACGTCTATATATTTGCCCAGGGGCATCAAAGTCACGAACCGAGAACCATTTGCGGACCGCGGGGCGCTGTACGGAGGCTCATTTCCATAAGCCCGTCTGTGGCCAATTTTGGTGAAGCAAAACAAAGTGGTTAGGGTGAACATTGGGCTGAGAGTGCCGCAATAAACAGCTGGAAGCAAGCACGTTTTTTTTTTTTTTTTCCCCCTTTTATCGTGAACCCGTTTGCTTTTGCCCAGAATGGTGCCAGTTGCGCAAATAAAAGGCGGGAAGGAAACGCGTTTTTTTTTTTTTTTTTTCCCCTCTTATCGTGAGAACAGGTGCTCTGGAAAAAACTTGGCCAAAACTTGAACTAAAACTAAGCGTGATCAGGCGAGTACCGAGGTCCTGAGTGTGCGCCTTCTCCTGGCCTTCCAGGTACAACAGGCTGTATCCCACCCACAGAGTTTGCATCCCCTGCGGGCACGATGGAGGCGCTCTGGACTGGCTGTGGATGACCATTAGGAAGCCCGCGTTCAAGGGTCTGGATGGTCCAGGGGCTCCACGGTCTCCAGTCAAACCAGGATCACCTGAGCACAGGAAGTCAGGTCAGTCACAAACATCTTTGTCGGAGAAAAACCTTTCAGCGCCCACCCCGGCCCAACGCCACTGAACTAGAAAGTCGCAAACAAATTGCGGCTGGCGACTGACTCTCACACATCTGGCGAGAAACTGCGACCTCAGATGTTCTTCTCGGCAAACAACATTTCGAGACGCCACATCTATTATTTGGTTGTAATACAAACTCGAGGGCTTATAGTCGGGCCTCGTCTGAGTCTTGTGTGAACATGTAAACTTTTCATCTCACCTTTTGCTCCCATCTCACCGCTCTCCCCCTCTGGGCCTCGTCGACCTGGCTCCCCAACAGGTCCCGGAGGTCCCTGAGGGCCTTGGGGTCCCACACACCCGGCATCCCCCTTCATACCTGCAGCACAACATCAGCCGTCATCAAAATCATGCAAACGCTGATCCTGTGTAGGACCATGTCTCGTAGCGTCTCACCTTTGAGTCCCTTGAGGCCACTTTCTCCCGGAAAACCAGTACTTCCTGGAAGACCCGGTAGCCCGGAGGGTCCTGGAGGGCCCTGTTGGGGTGAAGGGTAAGTGGGGCAAGGGAAAACTCTGCCTCTCTCCCCCTTTGGACCCTCCTGACCAGTACAACCCTGCGACCCAAGAGGTCCAGTTGGTCCCGGGAAACCTCTCGGGCCCGCATTTCCAGGTATCCCCATCAGGCCCATTGACCCTCGCTCTCCTGTTGGCACAGATTTTCAAAATGAGAAGACCCATCGCAGCCTCAGGCGGGCCAGGACTACAGCAGCCTGAGCCCAAAACTATGACCACTCAGTCACCTTTTAAACCTGGAAATCCACCGATGCCTGCTTGTCCCTTGGGCCCTGGAAGCCCTTTGTCTCCCTTTGGACCAGGGTATCCGTTGCCCCCGTTGTCCCCATCATCGCCAGGCACTGGAGGGTTAGGACCCGCACTGCCCATCTCGCCAAGGTAACCTGAAAGGTAGTCTGAGGTCAGTCAGGTCACTGATCAACTCTCAACTTTTCACAAAAGTTACTTCTCGTCTGACCTGGCTCTCCATCTGGCCCGGGTTCGCCAGGGTCTCCTGAAATCCCAGAGGGGGGGTTTTTACAGTCAGGTCCGGATGCACCCGAAGGTCCAATTTGTCCTTGTGTCCCTGGACATGTAAATGAAGAGCGAGTGAGTACCTGAACACAAGTAGCCAACATCTTTATCAGGCCTGAGGGAAACTAGAGGCCTCAATCACCAACCTCTAGATCCTGAAGGGCCTTTGGGTCCTGGAGGTCCATGCTGTGATGAACCTGGGAGACCCGGAGGACCAAACGGGCCTTTATCTCCCGGAAGACCTTGAGAACCTTGGGAACCAGGAACACTGAGACCTGAAGAGACGGCACAGGAAAGTTGACAAATGTTGCTGAAGAAATGAAAGAAATAACGTGAACAGACAAAGTCTGTTGTACGTTAAACGGCACAGGAAAGTTGACAAATGTTGCTGAAGAAATAACGTGAACAGACACAGTCTGTTGTACGTTAAGGTACTTTGGTACATCGGTTGTCATCTCGTTGATCCACACACCTCTGCTGCCAATGTCCCCTTTCACCCCCTTTAGTCCATCCAGGCCGTGAAGTCCCAGTGGTCCTGGAGGACCTGTTCCAACGGTTGAGTATGAATTAATAGTTACACAGCTGTCAAAACAAAAACAAAACTAGCCATGCCCACCTTGGAGTCCTGAGATGCCGTACGGTCCAGGGGGACCGTCGGCACCCGCGTTGCCAGGAAGACCTGGAACCCCTGGGCGGCCTCTGGGGCCTGGGGGTCCAATCACACCTGATGAACGGAAAGGACGAGTTAAGAGTTTTGTTCTGTTTGCCAGGACTTGAAAATTGCTTCAAGATTTTTAGAAACAGCAGCATGACCCCCTTCGTGACTGTGATGAGTAGCCTGAGCAGCACATGAAGACTTTAGAGCTAGGACCCAGTACCTGGTGCTCCTTGCCCCCCAGGCTGTCCGAGATCTCCTTTGCAGCCTCTCTGACCTGGCTCTCCGATGAAACCAGGTGCTCCAGGATCACCTCGAGGTCCAGAAGCACCTGATGAAGAACAATTGAGTTAGTGGTTTTCTGATTCATGTTGATGGAAATGATGACAAAGGTTCTGGTGCTAGAACCTCACCTCGGGGTCCCGGGGCTCCAGGAGGCCCCCTGTCTCCAGGTAAACCAGGTCTACTGCGCGACTCTCCTTGATCACCTGATACATTAAAGCAGAATTTTGACAAATGCCCATCAGCTGTGTCATGGCGACAGGAAGATGTGTAGTACCGTACCTTTGGACCCAGGAGGTCCTCGTCGACCGCGTTCTCCGGGCCTCCCAGGGCATCCTTGGTCACCCTGTATGACAACATCGCTATTTTGTAGACATCCTGATTTTCATCAGATCTACGTGATAGATTGAACTTTTCGTTTCGGACGTGCAATACAAGAAAACCACAAAGAAAGTTGAAATCGCCCATACTGAATAGTTTGATTGATTGATTAATTGAAACCAACCATCTACTGCCGGTCTGACCCGGAGTAGGAAGAGCGCAAACTGATTTGAATCCTAACCCTTCATGTATCATACAACTGGGGACAAATCCCTTGTGTGTTTTTGCAGACTTGGGCATTATGTTTCCAAACATATAGCAAACACCTACACGCATCTAAACACTTAACACCCACAATGCAATGCAATTATGTGCGAGATCCAATCAAATCCAATCAATTTGTGACTGACGAAGCAACTATGTAGGGCCTGTAGTTGGTGTTTTCAGCCTTGAATGTTAGTTGTGTCGTTTGGAAGATACAACATATCTGCGATGTGTGTTGCCTAACCCTACTTAATGAACATGCTCTTCTCTCATCTTACTGGGTCTCCTGGTTCTCCAGGGAAGCCAAGAAAACCGGAAGGTCCAGGAGGCCCAGGTCCTCCAGAAAGCCCCGGTTTGCCTAAAGACCCTTGTGGACCCGGCGTCCCGCTGATGCCCGGCGGCATATTGGTGCCTGGGGGCCCAGGCTTGCCCAAAAGTCCTCGTGCACCCTTATTTCCTGGCAATGGAAAAAAAAAACAAAAAACAGAAATTCTCTGCCTGAAAGACTCATTCAGTCTGTCTCAAAACGTTCCTATTACGCCTAAATGCTTGACTTCAGTCTAACCTCGTGCACCGGGGAAACCATTGACACCGGGCGGACCAGGCTTTCCTCTTTCACCTTTGATAGGGACACCCACTGTCTCCCCGGTCGGTCCCGGGTACCCTTTACAGCCTGCAGAACCACAACAACAAGACGCAATGTCAATCGATTAAGCTTTTGTTTGATGTGTCTATGCACCCATCCGTTTCGGATACTGTTTCTCCTGTCATGGTCACAAATGAGCTAATGCCTTTCCCAGCTGACTTCATGGTACACCCTGGACCGGTCGGCATATTCACACAATTGAGAGTTTTTTTTTGGTTTCTTGGAATGCAGGAGGAAGCCGGAGTCTTTGGATAAAACCTGGGTGGGGAGAACAACCGGATTCGAACCCCCAACCACTGAACTTGAAGGCACTGTGCTGCCTGATATTAGTATGATTTGCTTTCGTGCGTGTAATAGTAGCAGTGTTTACCCTTCTCTCCTTTGGGACCTTGACATCCTGGCCTGCCATCTTGTCCATTAGGTCCTCTCTCTCCTGTCCCCCCTGGATATCCTGGGAACCCAATCAATCCTTGCACTCCTTGGACACCGTTGTTACCAAGGGGTCCCGTCAGACCTGATTGTGAGATGACGATGACACGTGGGTACCATATGAACTTAGATGGGTCCGAAAGCCCTTTGAGTTCCCCCTTCACGGCGATGTCCTCGAGGCACTCCTAAATCCTAGACTAACAAACAGCTTACTGATGAAAAAGTTGATGCTGTCAGGAGGCTGCTTACCTTTCTGTCCATCCCACCCAGCAAATCCAGATTCTCCACTGGGACCAGGAGGGCCCGGAAGTCCCGGATACCCAGGAAAACCAGGAGACCCTGGTTTGCCCACAGGGCCGCGGGGGCCATACCCTGGTGATCCTGGTTCTCCCATATCACCTTTCTCCCCAAAACATCCTGAGCAAAACCACGAAGGGGAAAATAAGTCTTAAGGTCAGGTGTCCCTGACTTGGATCACAAGTTCTCATGGTGAAACAAGAGCCATGACATTAGGACGTTGCTTCAGATCACACATTACCAGAGGGGCCAGTAGCTCCTTGTGGACCGGGAGGGCCTGTGGGACCAGGTTTTCCTCTTTGGCACAGATCAGAGATGGGGCCGGGGGAACCATTATTGCCCGGTGCCCCATCCTGTCCTCTTTGGCCCTTAGGCCCTGGAACTCCGGGCAGACCTGGGACCCCTGAAGAAGACGAGAACATGTGAAAAGAACACCAATGTTTCATGTGCAGACACATAAATCTTGACAACTCCATCAACGATTGTGATGATCATGCAGAGGGGCTGGTTCGGGTCACAGCATTTGTGTGCCTTTATGGAGGGAAAGGTCGGGAATAAGTCCCACAGCAATAGAGCCACCATTTGGATTTCAGATTTTGGCCTCACCTTGGAAACCCTGGTTGCCAGCTTGGCCTGGGACTCCTTTAGGTCCCGGAGAGCCCACTAAGCCTGGAAAGCCAACGGGTCCTGAGGTCCCCACATAAGACTCACCAGCTGGTCCTCTCAGTCCAGGAGTGCCCGGTGCACCCGGAGAGCCTGGTACACACAGAAAAAAACATGCACAAGTGCTGAAGGAGCACAGTGGTCCATTTGATATGTCACTTTCCATGTGTGAAGAGGGTAGGGGCAGTCATCAGAGATTCCTGTACATTTGTCTGGGGCATATGTGCCTTTATCTCCACTTACTGATTGGGGCTATGCATTCCGCATTAACTTTGCGATACAGTCATCTCCTTTCTATGAAATTACCCATCTTAGACAAGACAGTACCTGGCTCTCCGGCAAAACTGAAGCCTTCAGGTCCTTCAACTCCAATATCTCCAATAAGACCTCGTGGTCCTTGTAGAGGCAGACAAGTTGTTAACTGTTAGCCTGTAGCTTCTGGACAAAAGTGTGGTACAAATGCAGCGGTACCTGCTAGTCCGTGTGGTCCAGGAAGTCCAGACTGTCCTTTTTCCCCTTTAGGTCCATCGGGTCCAGTGAATCCATTGAAACCAGGAGGACCAGGAAGCCCTCTGAGGCCTGGGCAGTTCAACGGTATGTCAGATAGACAGGTGAACAAAAACTTGACGGAAGACCATCACGATTGGGTTCACCTGTATCTCCGGCCTCCCCTTTCTGTCCTGGGGCTCCAGGGTTTCTGGGTATACAAGGAAGTGTTTCACCTATGGAGAGTTGAGTCATCAGTCCAACGGTGCCAACGGCGTTGATTTTTTTTCGCAGACAACTTTTGTAATCAGACTGAGCTTTACCTTGAGCACCTTTCAGGCCAGGGAAGCCAGCGAAACCTGGAAGTCCCGGGGATCCTGGATCGCCCCGATTTCCTATTGCCCCAACCACACCGGATCCCTGGGGTCCAGTGGGTCCAGTTAGTCCTTTGGGGCCAGGGAGACCCTTCAGGCCTCTGTCCCCTGGAGAACTGGAGGTACGTTCTCCCTGTAAACAAATGTAAGGTGAGCAGGAAAACTCAACATGCAAAGGAGAGGAGAGTTTTCATCGTCAGGTCCTCTTGTCTGCGGACTCAACAAGCTCATAGGATTTTGTGGAATTATTTGATGCTTCAATGACTGGAGCAGCGAGAGCCAAAGACCTGAGGTCCAGGGCTTCCGGGGAGTCCTGGGAGTCCATCCTGCCCTCTTCTCCCAGGAAAACCTTGTCTACCTGCAAGACCCGGCTCACCTCTTGCGCCCTTCTCACCTGGGAACAAATGTTTGGTTAGTGCAACATGCAGATGTGGTTTTATCACTTCACACAATCTTCAGGTCATCCACAGTCTGACAAGATTTTTTGAGAGCTCAACCATGTTCACATGACTCGATATCAATATCCACGTCAACCTGGAGGTCAAAGTCAGTCAACTTGCCTTTGATTTCTACCACAATGAAGTCTCCTTTTTGACCTTTGAACCCTTTGACACCAGGTAAGCCACCGAGGCCCTGCAAACCAGTCCAACAATCAAACAACCACTCAGTCGTTCAAGAGAAGAAATTTGAACATTTTCTGGAGTTCAACAAACCTGGCAAAGAGAGTCTACTTTTTTTTTTTAAGTATTTAAGACCCTGCCTGCTCCGATTAAGGTACCAAACTTGGGACCCCATTTGGGCCAAACGTTTCCTTACCGGCTGTCCAGTCACACCCGTGTCTCCCACGCAGCCTGTCTCCCCTCTTGGCCCCTGAGCTCCAGGGGACCCTGGATACCCCGCCAAACCGGGCTTCCCCACTGGGCCTGGGGCTCCCCTCACCATAAATGGAGGACCACAGAAGCATTCACCTTGGCGCCCTGCCCCAAAACACATGCTGTTACATCTTGCTCCACATTTTACATGAATGAAGGGAATCAGCGGAGCCTCATCACTAACCTTTGAATCCCCGATCACCTGGTGGGCCAAAAGGCCCTAGTTCACCAGGTTCTCCAGATTCTCCTGGCACTCCCGGAAGGCAGTAAAAGCCTGTAGGATAACACAAACAAAGCAAAACAAAACTGAAATGCCCGCATAGTGGAAGGACGAAGTATTGTTTTCCTAAACAAACACCAGCATACCTGGCATCCCAGGTTGGCCTTTTGCACCTCTGGGGCCTGGGCTGCCAGGTCTTCCAGTTTCTCCAGGTAATGCTTGATCTGTGATAACCTGACCTGGATCTCCTTTGTCACCTCTGCATCCAGGAGTCCCCCTCACTCCCACCACACCTGCTGGCCCTAATCAGAGTTCAGGAAAAAAATTGTCGGTCAAGTACAATTCCTGAACGAGTCGAATGGCTCTCGTGAAAAGTCATGCAATGATAGCGCTGCTGTGCTCTGACCTGGTATGGATCTACCAGGGGATCCTCGGGGCCCTTGCGGTCCCATGAATCCACGATCTCCCGGAGGTCCTGTCAGGCCCGGAGTCCCTGGATCTCCAGCGTCACCTTGAGGACAAATGGACATCTGGGTGTCAACAGTCGTACGTGAGGAAAATGGATGGGTGCCTCTATGGATGTGGACATCTACCCAAAAGGGTGATGACAATTTCCCGAGGGAGGCCTTTGAGACCAGGATCTCCCATCATGCCCTGGGAACAGAAGCAATGGGTATCATCATATGCCACCCGTGATTCATCTCCATAGCAAGCAGAGGGTGTTTGAACCCATCACCGACCTTTGGACCTTCTTGTCCGATCAAACCTGGAAGACCAGAGCTTCCTCCAGGGCCCTGTAACACAATCACATATGCTTTCTGGACCCCACAAATCTTGTGCTGGCGCTGCACATCCGTCATTTTTGACATAGCTGGTCTGAGCTGGGAAGTTAGCTATGAACTGCGATTTCGTGGGAGTGCACGTTCTACTCACCTGAGCTCCTTTGTAACCAGGTAGACCAGGGCGTCCCGGGAGTCCCTGAAGACCACAGACACATTTGCTGACGTCACCAATCATGGGGGGGGGGGTACTTCATTGAGTGTTCACTTAGAGTACTCATAAATATTGCGCACAGGATCTTCACGGTTAAAAGTTGTGAAGAATGTGATTTTGAAGAATGGTTTTGCACTTTACGTAAGTAATGTTGATGCTTTTTGGACATTTGGCACAGCACCACGAGCACAATACCAACTTTGACACGATGGAATTAGAAGTGTTTGTGGAAGAGTCAAACAAGTGACCCAAAAGAAATCTTTCCTACTGATCACCTTGGGGAAGCCTCGTTTTGTTTGAATGAACAGGTCTCGAGTCCGCAGCAAGTGGCTGTACAGACCCGACCTGCGCACGTCCATCGGTCGCAGAAGCAGCAACAGCAACATCAGCAGGAATTCAACTTCAGCGGTAAATGAACACCACACATGAAATGGCAATGCTGCTCACCTCTCATGGCCGTACGGTGGAAAAGACCCAAAACAGTCTGGTTTCCAAACACCAACACTTTCATTGGGTTGCGACTCTCTTAAAGGTGCCCCGCTCTTTCATTGCTTAGCAAAGCTGCTCGTCATGCGCCTCACCCTCTCCCTGCCCTCTCGCTCGACTGGCTTCATCGCAACTTGCTTCTTCCTTGACCATCGCCCTACGCTTTGATGGTTGAATAAACATGATCGAGTACAATACACTTTTTGAGGAACTAGCGTTTTTGGCGAAGCTTCAGTCCAAGTCAGGTTCAGCCGCGGTCCGGTAGTGCGTCGGCCCTAGCAAATCAGGCCCGAGATCTTCTCTTGACACAATACAACCACCATCCTAACACCCACTTTCTCTTCCACATCCTCCACACAGCCAGCAGCACCACCAAAGAAGGATGCCTCACCCTGGGTCCAGGAAGTCCCACAATCCCCTTCTCGCCCTTGACGCCAGGGAAAACATCCAGACCCTGAAAGTCCAGATGGGTAGAATTAGATCTGATGAAGCTCAGTCGGAGGACGCGATAGAACCCTGGAGTGGACTTACTGGCAGGCCTTGCGCTCCACAAACCCCTTTGGGCCCCGCCGGACCCTGACGAAACAAACAGAAGACACAAGGTTAGATGCCGCGGTCGAAAAGATGACTGCTCTTGCGTGATTGGCCGAGACGCAGTCACCTGCTCTCCTTTGATGTAGAATTCCTCTGGGGGGTCTACATACTCAAATGGGCCCGGGGGACCCTGTAAACCTTGTTCACCCTGCGGACGACACCAGTTAAATGCCCACTGTCCTGTCACAAAATGTAGCGTTCCTACTTTGTACCTCATCCCCTTTCGGTCCCAGCACCGATCGACCTCGTTCGCCCTGAAACATATGTACACACAAACTCCTCCGCATCATTTCTTATTTCCTCCGCTGTTTGAACACTTCCTCTTCTCTTCTGTCCCCAAAAGGAGCTACTGCACATTCAGGGATGCAAGCAAAAGTCATCTGAGGCAATACTTACAGGCAGACCCCTGGAACCTGGCAGGCCAGGGAGACCCTACGCAAGCACACGCACACACACACACATGCGTGCCCACGCGCACACTGTCAAGGTTAACTGGTCAAAGGATATTGAAATAGTTTGTCATGAAAATGTTCTCACATTTAGTCCGTCAGGACCACCAGCACCCAAGAATCCCGTTAAACCTCTCGGACCTGGTCCACCCTACACAGAGGAAGTCAGACAGGCAGCATGAGGATTGGACAGGAAGTTAGAGAAGCAAGAAACCACAAAGACAGGAAGAAGTCAGACAGACAGGAAGGCCGGGTGGACAGGCAAATTGTGAGCTCACCGGCAGACCAGGAAGTCCCTCGAGGCCGGCGTCACCCTGTGGGCCATAAGATTGTGAAAAGCTTACAGACATTGGGTCATTGCATCCGGCAGCCAACAATGTGCGCGGGACAACAGCACGTAAGACAACTCAGCGGGCACGTGGCGTCAATTGGAACATCAATTTGGTGTTGGATTTTGATGTCATATCGATGTTGAATTGACATCACGTGTCCTCTGGGGATGAGGTCATGCTAAATATTGGAAGTGTGATGTGGAGACCACTCACGGGGACTCCAGGATACTGGAGAAAGAAGAACGCCGGATCTCCCGGAAATCCCTTTGATCCTTGAAAGCCCTGCGACAGAAGTCCAGTTAGCCGGTCAACCAATCAATCAAGCAAATCAACCAATTAATCTTTGCTGGCTTATTTTGACCTGCACGTGACTGGAGGCAAAAGAAAATGTCCTGAATGCTCCTGAAGAAGAACCACAAGACCTCACGTGGTCAACGTCTAATCATAAGATAAGATAAGATAATGAAAACCTTTATTTGTCTACCAATGGAGAAATTCATGTTGTCTACGTCAGGTGTTGCCATCTTTGGATGTCAGCTTTCCGGTGTTGCGGTGTAGGTCGGACCTTGTGGTTTCCGTCAGGCGATTTATTTTATTTTATTTTTTCTCTCCCCACCCCCCCCACCCCCCGTGTCGACCCAAGAGGTCCATTTCAGGTGTTGTGGTTTGAGCCAGATTTCTTGTGGTCTAATTTATGTGTTGTGGTCCAGTTGAGGTGTTGCAGTCTCGTTCACGCGTTCTTGGTTGTGACCCTAAAATGTAGGCCGGCCTGTGGTCCTGACCGTTGCACCCGCCCTACGCTTTGATGGTTGAATAAACATGATCGAGTACAATACACTTTTTGAGGAACTAGCGTTTTTGGCGAAGCTTCAGTCCAAGTCAGGTTCAGCCGCGGTCCGGTAGTGCGTCGGCCCTAGCAAATCAGGCCCGAGATCTTCTCTTGACACAATACAACCACCATCCTAACACCCACTTTCTCTTCCACATCCTCCACACAGCCAGCAGCACCACCAAAGAAGGATGCCTCACCCTGGGTCCAGGAAGTCCCACAATCCCCTTCTCGCCCTTGACGCCAGGGAAAACATCCAGACCCTGAAAGTCCAGATGGGTAGAATTAGATCTGATGAAGCTCAGTCGGAGGACGCGATAGAACCCTGGAGTGGACTTACTGGCAGGCCTTGCGCTCCACAAACCCCTTTGGGCCCCGCCGGACCCTGACGAAACAAACAGAAGACACAAGGTTAGATGCCGCGGTCGAAAAGATGACTGCTCTTGCGTGATTGGCCGAGACGCAGTCACCTGCTCTCCTTTGATGTAGAATTCCTCTGGGGGGTCTACATACTCAAATGGGCCCGGGGGACCCTGTAAACCTTGTTCACCCTGCGGACGACACCAGTTAAATGCCCACTGTCCTGTCACAAAATGTAGCGTTCCTACTTTGTACCTCATCCCCTTTCGGTCCCAGCACCGATCGACCTCGTTCGCCCTGAAACATATGTACACACAAACTCCTCCGCATCATTTCTTATTTCCTCCGCTGTTTGAACACTTCCTCTTCTCTTCTGTCCCCAAAAGGAGCTACTGCACATTCAGGGATGCAAGCAAAAGTCATCTGAGGCAATACTTACAGGCAGACCCCTGGAACCTGGCAGGCCAGGGAGACCCTACGCAAGCACACGCACACACACACACATGCGTGCCCACGCGCACACTGTCAAGGTTAACTGGTCAAAGGATATTGAAATAGTTTGTCATGAAAATGTTCTCACATTTAGTCCGTCAGGACCACCAGCACCCAAGAATCCCGTTAAACCTCTCGGACCTGGTCCACCCTACACAGAGGAAGTCAGACAGGCAGCATGAGGATTGGACAGGAAGTTAGAGAAGCAAGAAACCACAAAGACAGGAAGAAGTCAGACAGACAGGAAGGCCGGGTGGACAGGCAAATTGTGAGCTCACCGGCAGACCAGGAAGTCCCTCGAGGCCGGCGTCACCCTGTGGGCCATAAGATTGTGAAAAGCTTACAGACATTGGGTCATTGCATCCGGCAGCCAACAATGTGCGCGGGACAACAGCACGTAAGACAACTCAGCGGGCACGTGGCGTCAATTGGAACATCAATTTGGTGTTGGATTTTGATGTCATATCGATGTTGAATTGACATCACGTGTCCTCTGGGGATGAGGTCATGCTAAATATTGGAAGTGTGATGTGGAGACCACTCACGGGGACTCCAGGATACTGGAGAAAGAAGAACGCCGGATCTCCCGGAAATCCCTTTGATCCTTGAAAGCCCTGCGACAGAAGTCCAGTTAGCCGGTCAACCAATCAATCAAGCAAATCAACCAATTAATCTTTGCTGGCTTATTTTGACCTGCACGTGACTGGAGGCAAAAGAAAATGTCCTGAATGCTCCTGAAGAAGAACCACAAGACCTCACGTGGTCAACGTCTAATCATAAGATAAGATAAGATAATGAAAACCTTTATTTGTCTACCAATGGAGAAATTCATGTTGTCTACGTCAGGTGTTGCCATCTTTGGATGTCAGCTTTCCGGTGTTGCGGTGTAGGTCGGACCTTGTGGTTTCCGTCAGGCGATTTATTTTATTTTATTTTTTCTCTCCCCACCCCCCCCACCCCCCGTGTCGACCCAAGAGGTCCATTTCAGGTGTTGTGGTTTGAGCCAGATTTCTTGTGGTCTAATTTATGTGTTGTGGTCCAGTTGAGGTGTTGCAGTCTCGTTCACGCGTTCTTGGTTGTGACCCTAAAATGTAGGCCGGCCTGTGGTCCTGACCGTTGCACCGCGGGTTATTTTATTTTATTTTTTCTCTCCCCACCCCCCCCACCCCCCGTGTCGACCCAAGAGGTCCATTTCAGGTGTTGTGGTTTGAGCCAGATTTCTTGTGGTCTAATTTATGTGTTGTGGTCCAGTTGAGGTGTTGCAGTCTCGTTCACGCGTTCTTGGTTGTGACCCTAAAATGTAGGCCGGCCTGTGGTCCTGACCGTTGCACCGCGGGGCCCTTGTTCTCCAGGTAGTCCAGGATTTCCCTGTCTTCCTCTCGTCCCATTACATCCATCCACACCTGGAAAACCAGGACCACCAGCTGGGCCCGGGTGACCCTGATTACACAAACAAACCAAAGATGGTCATCCAGGAAAGATTGTCTCAGTCCTGCAGCTTAAGATCCTGGCGATACACAGGGCTTCCTACCGGGACTCCCTCTAAACCAGGAAATCCGGGAACACCAACAGCTCCCTGAGAAAAAGAACAAAACAGCAAAGTCAGGTGCTTTTTCTTTGACGCAGTTTCTTTCTTTCTTTTGTTTCCTCAAAGTCATGTGACCCGAGAGTTTCTTTGACAGGGAGAAGAGATCCATAGAAATCCTTGAATATGCGCTTGTTTTACTAGCTTGAAGTCTGTTTAACGAAAAACCTTTGAAGTTTGTGGGCGGGGTGAACGTCTTGCTCGGGTTTATTGCGGATCTTCAACTATCGCGGACAGTTCTGGATTGCGTCGCCTCCGATGAACGGGATTCACTGTGTCTTCATTCACCGTGTCTCCTTTTGGTCCCGGAGGTCCTGCCGAGCCTTCGGCTCCTCGCTTGCCTTTCTCTCCTGGAGGACCCTGCGGGCCTGGGAAGCCTGGGGGCCCCTGAGGGCCCTGAGGCCCAAGAGACCCCGGAGACCCCTGAGGAAAGCCAGCAAAGAGTCAAAGCCGCACAAGTGGCGTTTCAAACATTCGCAAACAGCAGGTCATCCGCGTTCTCCAAATGAGTCGGCTTCGGGGGCAGAACAAAATTGAGTATTGCCTGAATGTAGAATCAATGTTGGAAATCGGCCTTGGACAAATACGAGTTTTTTCGCGAAGACTACGACTTTGTCTCGTTCTTGAGTCACGTCGGGTTACTGAAAGTCAGCTAGCCTGCTGCAGCAGCTCCGACTCACTTTCTCTTATTTCTTTCTCCTTTGTTGTACTTGTCCCCGCTTTCCTGTTTTATTGACTCCGTTGGACTTTTTGTTTGTTAGTTTTCACGCGCGCCCCGGAGGAACGACTGCCTCGCGTCCTCCCCTCAGCCAAGACTGCATCCCGCAGTTTGCGAGGTCATGCCGACGCCTCTTCTTCTCTCCCTCCTCTGAACGCGAGTTCACACACCGCGAGACCACCATCAGGCTGGCTGACGAACCGACTGTGAAAGTTTGGTCAAGCGCTGCGGGTGTGTTTCCATGTGATGACTGGTTGGATGGTTTGCACTGAAATCGGAAAATTGCATTTGGGCGGCACGGTGTCAAGTGGTTAACACGTCCCGTCTCACGCCTGGTACGGAGCCACGTCCGGGCTCCGATGCGCGTGTTTTTCTCCCAAAATGTGAACATGTTTTCAAAACATGTCGACTTCTGTCTTCTAAATAGTAACTTGGTTGCTGTTTTGAATTCGAGTTGGTGTTATGACGGGGCTCTTGGCAACATTTCTCCCCCTGGACTCAAAAGATCCGAGAAGTCCTCTTCGAAGGACTTCACGTCAACAACATTATCAACAACATCAGTAATGACAATCATTCATGTGACGACGCGCACCGACGTGACCACAAGGGGATGGGCAGAGCCCCCCCCCCCCCCTTCCCCACTCCAGCGTGTGTGCGCGCATGAGATGAGATGTGACAGGTCTGATCTCTGTTAGTTTTTGCGCTCTCCGGCTTTCTCTGGAATTATTGACGTGTGAAATCAGTGAGACAGACGCTTTGCCGCAACGCTCTCTGCCTGTCTGCGGGCCCCGGCTGTACAAACACACACGCGCACGCACACACAAACAGTTGATTTCTGTTACATCGTGCAATATGGTGATGTGAAAACTATAAAGTATATGTGCCTGTGTGTGTGTGTGTGTGTGTGTGTGTGTGTGTGTAAACAAGCACATGGACACACACACACACACACACACACACACACACCTACACACATTTGAGACAGCTCCTATCACCTCAAAGTGGACTTTAAGTCAGGGCCCCAGGGTGTCCAACGAATGTTTGCCGCGGGCCAGATTGTGGCCACAGTTTCCCTCAGAAGGCCGCGAGGAAAGGAAAGCATAGAAATGTTTCATAGCCTCTTTGTATTATCTCTCACACACACACACACACACACACACACACAAAACAAAATGATGGGAAACTGGTTTTGAAGTCAGTTCTTACGTTCCGGATAACCTCTGGACTCGGCTGGCTAACTTGTGGATGTTAACCATCCTCTCCTTTGTCACTCTCTTAAGTTGGGGTCTAATTTCTGAGCTTCACGAGCTAGGTTTTGGACACAACTGTCTCCGTTCTGCCTTTAAATCCCGGATGTGGTCCTGACCTTGTTAGCTCTGTTCAGAGTCCTAAAAAGAGAAGATTTCCTCGATTGTCACCATGTGATTCGTTGCGGTCTCGAGGCGCGCTTGAGGTTGGACGAGCCGCGATTGTTTGTTTTGTGCGGTTGGTGGAGTCTCACCCTGGCTCCCTTCGCCGGAAAGCATCGACAGGCGGAACAGTCTCGCCCGGCGCACAGCTCCGTGTCGTCGCCCTGGAGACAGTCACATCGGCAGCGGCGGCAACATGTTACGTCGTCATCAATAATCATGGGACATCATTGTCAATATCACGTGTGACGCATCACCGCGGCTCTGGCGAGCAAAATGTCGCGTCATCGCGGCATCACTGGAAGGATGACATCGTGCCTGACATTGCGGACAGTGCGATCCGTACGCCACGGCGCCGTCTCGTGGATACAAGGTCAGATCTCAACGCCACATCGTGTACGACATCATGGGGATTCATGAATACGATGGTGAATGCACTGCCCAGGAATGACCTCGTGGTGAAGTCGGCATCGCAGTTTAGCGCGTGGATGTAGTGCGTCCGGCGAGTCGGGTTCAACGCGAGCCCGGCGCGACTCCCGGCAGACTTGATTGTCAGATGGTGAGATTGTCAGCTTCCCAGATCCCCATCATGCATCGGTGTTTGTGTTGCAGGCTGCATTCCTGCCGCGTTGTGTCAACTAAGTTAGCAGTCAAGCGTTTCTATCAGCGGCAGGAATGTGAGAATCACCGCCACCGCTCGTTGTCCCCTTCACGAGACGCGCGGCCTCTACGCGCACCGCATACTGTATGTCCAACAGAAGCTGGACACGTGCTGCTACAGGTGTCCTGCAGTATATGCGGTCCGCCGCATGTCCTACTGGACACACTGTATCATCCATCCATTTTCTAATCGGCTTACCCTGGAGCCCATCCCAGCTGTCTTTGGGCAGGAGGCGGGGTACACCCTGAACCGCTTGCCAGCCAATCTCAGACCCCATTATCCACCATGGGGAAGGAGCCCTACATCTAGCCAAGGTGTTTACCCGTGTCATCAGGGTGACAGTTCCGCCTCAAATCCAGTATCCTCTGAGCTGCTGTGGTGCACAGGCGCAAACAACGGTCAAGACCAGGTGTCTGGCACGGCGCTCCTCGACGGCCGCTTTCCCGTCATGTTTTGAATCGAGTTTTCTTCCTGCAACAGACCTGATTCAAATGATCAGGATCGTTATCAGGCCCCTGCAGAACTTGCTGATGAGCCGATCATTTCCATCGGGTGTGTTGCAGGTGGGAAACCTCAGGAACATGGAGGAAAGCGGTCCTCAAGGACCAGAGTTTCAGGCCCGTGGTCAGGAAGACAGAGGGAGGCTGCCTTTTGTCCCCCATCAAGCCAGGATAAGGGCAATGAATTTGCCCACCCCTGCTCGGTACACCTCACCGGAGGGACCTACCCCTCTGAAGAGGACTGGCACCACAGCCCAAGCTTCGTGTTGATGTGATCCCGATAATATCTTGTTGATACCTCTCAACCTCTCGTACCGGCTCAGGCTCCTTCCCTGCCAGAATGGTGACTTTCCACGTGTCCAGAGGTCAGCTTCCATAGCCGGGAGCGGGACCACTGAGGTCTGCGCATTTAGCCGCCATCCTCACACACGTTGGGGTACACACGTTGCTCGCCACCTCGCCCCACCTTTAGGCCTGGTTCCAGAGGGGACCCCGGTGACCCACATCTGGGCAATGGAAAAGCACCTTCCAAAGTTAGTGGACGTCACGCGAGCCGAGCCTTATGTTGTTTGGCGCCTTGACATGAACTGTTGGGCCAGGGTGACCCTGCCAGGGGCATCAAGCCCCAGACGACTTGGCTCCTGGGATCATTGGAACGCAGAACCCTTCCACCACGGTAAGGTGACAGCTCATAGGGGGGCTTGTGTAGCACATACCATGTCTTGCACATTCAAGTATGTCCAGGGTCTGACATTAGCAGAGGTATCAAATTCAGGTCCACAAAGCAAAAACCCTGCCGCCGTTTGGCTTTAGCCGCCGCTGCTTCTACCCAACCGGTGGGTTAGAGAGCTCATTTACCTGCCGGTTGAGTCGAAGCACCGGTGGCTAAAGCCAAACGGTGGCAGGGTTTTACTTCTGGACTTGGATTTGCCACCTCTGGAGATAAGAAAGGTTAAACATCTCGTAACTGGTCTAAGCGAGAGACGCAGATGTCCTGACTTACCCCAAGAACGGCGGTGCAGGTCAGGAGCATCAGGAAGCGCCTGAGGACATACAGGGACAAGGATAGACACAAGGAGTCAGGGTATTCGCAGCGGGTCAAGGCGGAAGTAGGTGGCGCAAGGGAATCCAGGTGGCCAAGGGAGATACGGTCGGTCAAAGGATGGACAAAGGTGGAAAAAGGCGGTCAAAGCGGACGCAGTTGGTCGAGGCAAAGCGGCACTATTTATCGAACACGCTTCGGACACAAGGCAACTCAATGTGCTTCACACAGGCAAAGCACAAGACCCAAGAAGCAGCGACAAACGCAACTGCTGAAGACGCTCAGGCAAAGCAAAGAGAACTAAAGTAGCAGTAAAATGACTCAGAGAACCTCCATTGAGCACATTTAAACACACAAACAAACAAAAGATTTCAAGCCATGTCAAGGAAAGAAATAAAAAGCAGCTGGTTAAAAGACCTTCATCAGAGGAATCTGGGGAGGGGGGGGGGGATGACGACAGTTTCAAAATCTGGATTTAAAGGCATTGATAGTTGGGGCTGACTTCACTTGTGACGGCCACTTGTCTGCAGCATAACGGCTCAATTGTTTGCTTTGAAACCTGCGAGTTGGCAGACCTCGCAGCTTTATTGGCTTGATGTTCAAGAAACATTTTCTGCATGGATTCAGGAGACAAGCCATTCAAGCATTTATCGACCAGTGGCAGGTTTTGAAAATCTCTTCTACAGTGCAAAGCCTAGCATTTGTGCCCATGCCCCCGCCCCCCCCCCCCCCCACGATAGAGCGAGGCTGCGGCGCATCGGCAGATGTCAACGCGGTGTGTTTTGTGTACCTGAGTCTCATGTTGCTTCCGCAGGTCGAGCAGAGCCCGGTCCGGTGCTCATGAGATGCCCCGCCCACTCGTCCTCCTCCAGCCAATGAGGAGCCCGTGATGCTGCGCACAAGGTCAACACATCCCATGTTCTCCGCATCAGGTCACGTGACACAACGTCACCCATACGCCACCCGACGGGCGTCGTTGCGCGCTGCCCGACGCTTCGAACAATTTTTGAATTTGGCTGCCATATCTTCCTTGTTGGCCTCTTTTGGGCGATAAAGGCTTATCGCGGTTATTGCTACAACCTGGAATAGTCTTTGTCCAAAATGTTGCGACGCTCGGATAGCATGAAATCGCGGACACCCACCACGTGCTTAAATTTGAAGCCTTGCGATCGTTCCCTGCTCCTGAAAAACAAAACAAACCATAGACCGGCATGGTTTTGTTGTGTTTTCGGGCTGGAAGCAAAAACAGCAGCGGCGGCGGCGACAAAAGCAAAACACAGGAGCCCGGGTTGGAACAGCCGAACCTTCGGTCCGTTGGGCAACCCGTTCGAGCGACGGAGCCGAAGTC